ATTTATAGTAAGGCACTCACTTTACTTTAACTCAATTAAACAAATGACTTTCATTCTTTGGAACTCTTTCTGGGATTCATTTTTATTCAATTTCACATATAAAACAAGTTTTAGCTAACTTTTTTACAAATTAAGTAAGTAAATTAAATTAATCCTATGACTAAACGATTTTGTTGTACAAGAAGAAATTAGTTCGGAAAAAAACCAAACTTTTAATAGAAGAAATTATTTCAATAAAGTTTATTGGTGACATATAAAGTAAAATATGACCAAGAATTAATCTTTAAAATTAATATAATCAATTAATTGATGAAGATGAATATTTTTATTAGAATTAATTGAATTATGCCAAGTGAATTGAAATTATGATTATACTTAAATGATTGCAACTTAATATTTACATATTTAACAATTGGTACGCCCTTCTCCTCTCTTTTCTCATCTTCTTTGTCCTTTTTCTTATCTCAAACCACAAGCAGCAATCAATTGCTGCCAAAAGATGCTCCAAAGAAGCAACTACTCTAACAGCACATATCCAACAACACGTGGCAACTTATCAAAGCAACCAAAAGAGTCAACAAAAACAACGTCGATGCCTCATAGTCTGCCTCGAAACAACGCATTCTCTGCATAGAACAATAAAAAATCAGAAATTATATTGAAAATTGCCATAATGCTGACATGATTTGCGAAAATCTAGTATAAAATGTTGTAATTGCTTTTTAATTAGTTCAAACTACCAAACGTTAAACAATAACAACAACACCACTTGAATCTGTAAATATATGCATGTTCCCAATAAATGAAAAAAAAAAAAATATAGTCAAGAATAAATTACAACAACGCGCAGCTATTAAAAAATCTTGTAGCATTTATGTGATAAAAAATAAGTAAAATATGCTTACTAATTACAACAATAACATTCTTAATGTATGAATACAAGAAAATACTCTAGCGCACATACCGCAAAAATAAATTTCGAGGCGGCAAGTTTATCTTTGAAGTCAGTTGCGGCTGAGAAAATATTTGTGGCTGTCACTTTTCTTTAACAACGATTACAGTGCGCTTGTTTTATTTTGATACTATAATGCAGTAACTGTGTTAGGGTGGTATAGTTCTTTAACTGTGAACCGAGTGATTAATTAGCAAAGCGAAAATATTATATATTATATATTATAATATTTTTTGTATTATATATATAATACAGCTGTAAACAAAGTGTTTCAGAGAGTCTTAAGATGCTTAGAACTTAGATATATATCTTTTACTTTTTGCTATTTATAAGAAGAACTCAAAGATTTTTTTCTGAGAGGTATGTAAATCATCAGTGCATACAAATATGCCACCAAAGGAGACAATCGCGTAGTTTAGACTCGACTTTAGAGATTCTAGCGAGTATTATCTTACTAGTTTAAAGGTTGTGTGGCTTAACAAAAGTACATTTAAGGGTTCCGTGAAGCATCTCATATGGAATCGGAGAGATTTGTTTCGTTTCGGCGTCTCAAAATTTTTGATCGTATTGGCATCACGATTATCGAGTACGTAGCATTCTCTATTAGCGAATTTTCATTAGTATGCAATAGAATTGTGTCGAAACTTTTGTGTTTTCGATCATTTTAGTCGACGGTCTTAGATCACGACATCTTGAATACATAATTTTTGGAATGGAAGAAATATTTTTATACCTATACGATGACTGATATTCACTTCTGAATAAGTGACTATGAGTAACAAGTTCAGCCCAGGATAAATATATATTTCTGATTTGTTGTCTGTAGCAAAATATATGGTTGCAAATCTGTTAAAAATACTTAAATAATATTTTGAAAAGTGGAAAGCTTTCAGTCATTTTTTTTCTACAAAAGTCACCTCAGAATTATGCTATTCGCTAAATTTTTATTTTTAGCTGAACTTATCATTATTATGGTTAAAAAAATGAGGTCACTTTTTTCATTTCAAATTCTTTCTAATTTTTTTTTTTCTCTCTCAAGCCAGCCACTTCTCATCGCCCCTCTTTCCCTCAATGCAATCAAATTTTATATAATAATCTTGAATAAGTTTTTCATAACTATTTTTTAATTTTTTTTTTACAATTTTATCTATTGTTGTAATTATTCCAACAATTGCATTTTCATGCTTCATTAGAATATACCGCATATACCGCACTTCTAACAGCGACAGCAACAACTTTACTACAACTACAACAACAATTAAAAGTTCAACAAAAAAACGCTAACTCATATCTAATATTGTTCTAATGCCATTTTAAATGCCAACCAAGCTGCAGTTCAAATATTCAAATAGCATTGCATATTGTTGTTGTTATTACTTTATTACTACCATTATTGCGCTTCAGCTTCACGAGTTGGAAAAAAATGCATTGTAAAATAGCAAATGACAGCAAATCCACCATGTGTTATGCTGTAATGAAATTAATGATGCTACTACATTTCAAGGTTAGCGACGACAGCTGCCCGGCTGCTTAAGCTTGCGCGGCCGCCAGCCAAACGACCAATCGAACGAGCGATTCACGTGCGCCAGCTCGCTAGCGGCTAATGGCAACAAATGCTTATACATCATTGTCAGCGCGTGATAGCAAAAAATAGCAAAACAACAACAAAAGCAAACCAAATCAGCAGCATTTATTACGGTGGCAGCAAGCGTGTTGCAAATGTTACATACCAACAACAGCAACAACGAAATTAGTTACCAACTTTTTTCTTCTTTTTTATTAATAAAAAATATTTCTTCTTCTTCTTCTTTTACTCATTCTTTTCGCTGTTAAGGAGTGGCACGCTGCACAGTTCGTGCCAATGCCTGCAGCCACAACGAACAATCATTCGAGTTGCCTCCGAAAATGTTAATAACAACAAATTTACGCTCCATTAGCTTTTGCTATCTGCGGCAAAGCGTCTGTTCATAATGAAATTAAACATTTGAACAGCTGAGCGCAAGGTTTGCACAGCATTTGCTTTTACCCCGCACTCCTCTGCTCTGCTCCTTTTAAACGTTTCTCATTTAGCGGCGACTGCTGTTGCTATTATTCAAGTTGTCTCGCCAATTACGTACAAAGCTGTAACTGTTAGCTTGTCTTGTTGCTGCTATCAATGTACGCGTGAGATCAAGGATAGTGGGTCAAATGTGCAGAATTGCGCCACTGTTTTGGCGGCTGCGACGAGTTATTGGCGGTAGCGGTTAATGGCGCATTGATTTCTATGTTTTTGCGGTATCGGTTACAAAGTTTTCGAAAAATTAAATATTTCGAAAAAAAAACAAAAATACAAATATTTGGAAAAAAATATTGAAACAAAAAAATTAAAAAAAAAATTATACAAAACAAAAAAATTTATGAAAAAAAGTATATAAAGATAATCGGAATTGGAACGGAATCCAAGCAATTACATAAACTTCCCTAATCACCCGAATCACCAGAATCCACAAAATCGCTCTAAAAATTAGTAATACGACAGGAAAAGAGCAAGCACACATCCATATATCGATAATTTCTCATTAATAATTAATCAAAAATCGATAAAAATTTTTTATAATTATTCTTTTATAGCAAGTTTAGCAACTCAAAGGTTAATGTGCCATTTAAATTCAAAGAAGAGCGAATTACTTATGAAACAATCAAAGCTTAGTTAATAAGGTAAAACAGCATAGCTCAAATTACATTGCAATATGCAAAGTGGCAAGTTGTGTTTGCATTTATTAGCCGTGCACTCGCGTAAATCTAATATGTGTGCTCGCTTGCCTCTAACCACTTACATTTATCATATATGCAAATATATTTCCATGTATATGTTTGCGCTTAGCTGACATATGCCTTTTCCACATACTTTACAGAATAGTTTGTATAATTCATGCAAATTATATGCAATTTTTATTGGCACCTTTTTCATGTTTAATTTCTGCTTTATTTCCACCTTTTAAATGCCTTCTTCTGCTTGATTGATTTTTATGATTTCGCATTTGCATTCAAACGCTTTCAATGCATTAAGAGCTGGGCTGCTTACTTTGCATATATTTTTGTTGTTGCTTTTATGCGTTCAATTCAACATGCCGACGCCATTGTGTACACATGTGCAATATTTGCAAAAATACATTTACTACTTTGTGTAAGTGTATATGATCGCTTGATCTCAGGTGGCTTGTCATTTTTAGCCTGAGTTGCAGCTTATTTGCTGATGGCTTGTATGTATATAAAAGCGCCAATTTGTTAGTTTTGTAACTTTATACTATTTACTGTGGCCAATTATAAAATTAAGTGGTGTTTTATCAAAAAGTGCGTGGTGACAGTGACGGAAACGTCATACAGGTGGTGCCAGAAGAATGTTCTCACAATCTTATTATTCTGGGGTCATTTAATATTGCTTTTGGAATAAGTTATTAACTTGTATTATGATATAACAATTTTAAATATTTCTTTTAACTTAACGAAAAATGTAAAAACTTAACGAAACTTTTTTTATTAATCCGATTAAAAATGTATTTTTAGAATCAAGTCCTTAACTTTTATTATTTTATTTTATTAGCTTCCAATTTTTGACAAAGAAAAGTGAAGAAATAGAAAACTTAACGAAATATTTTTTTGCTTATTTGACCAAAAACTATTACATACACCTGAGAAATACGCAAGTGGCTTAAAGATATTGTCTCTAAACTTCTTTGTAAAACTTAACGAAAACACCAACAACTTAACGAAATTTATTTAATACATTTTTGACTAAAAATTGTAATTTATTGTAAAATTAATATTTTCAACTGAACGAATATTTTGTGAAACTACAAAATATTTTTAAATATAACGACAAAAGCTAATATATAAATATAAATAAAAAAAAGCTAATAAATGAAATTATTTGTAGCTCTATAAATCATGACTAAGAATTTTATGTCCAATCCACAAACTTTTTCGTCAAATGCGACAAAATAACTATTTTTTACTAAGTAATTTCTACTAAATTCTCACATCTCCATCTAATTTCTTCTACTTTCAGATGCTACCGCCTTCCAGTATCCCCCACCAGCCAGTCCATGCTGTCAAGTGCACAGTCCCTCACCATACACAGGGAGTGGCAGCGGTGGCGGCGGTGGTGGTGGTGCCGGTGTCGGCAATGGCGAAGTTTTTTTCCCACTCAGTCTTAGTACACCACGTACACCACGTACCAGCGTCAGTTATGCGGCTGGCGAAGAGAATACCTTCTTTCGTCATCACAACATCAGTGGCGGTTGCAGCAACGCATCACACCTACAACCACCGCAATCGGCACCACCAATGCCGTCGAGTAGTCACAATGGTGCACATAGTCAACCAGCGCCGCAACAACAATACCAACAATATACATATCCATATTATCAATATACACCACCGCCGACACCGCTCACCGCCAATGCGAGCACCTGCACCGGCAATGTATTCGGGGCGACGGAAGCGACAACGCACCAACGCGGTTGTGTGGCAACAGCGTCGACATCCACATCGACGACATCGTGCGGTATGGGCGGACATTCGCGTTTGCATCGCAGCCTCTCAGATGCGCAGAAGCGGTAAGTGTACATAGTAATGCTAATTACTAACTTTAGTTGTACTTAAAAAATTATTTTCAAGCATGCACATTTTCCTAATAATAATTTGTTTACAAAAATTTTATTGAAAAGCACTTTAATTGGCAATAAATGTCTTGAAATAAAATAATTTCAACTAAATTTGTCTCTATTAACTCTATTCCAACACTTAACGAAAGTTTTCAAAACTGGACGAAAGTTTTGAAAACTTAACGAACGCGCAAAAAAAATTTCGTCAGTATTTAAAGTGTTTCCTGAACTAGAAATTACTTTTATTTTTAAACGAAAACTGAATAATAACATAACTTTGAAATTATTAACCAGTACGAATTTTAATGCTTATTTTGAACAGCATAAATAAACAGTGAACAAATTGAGTACAACTCATTAACGTCAAGATTATACCAAATTTTCATTCAATAAATTACAGTACAATACACTCTCTTATCGCCTCAAAACGCCTACTTTATACAGTAGTGCGATGTGCTTAGCAAAGTGTCAACTATAAGCGTACAGCGCTGCTGATTTCGATCATACTATATATGTACATATATTGTAATGTTTGAATATTTAAGAAAGCATATGCGGGGGTAAAGCAAACGTAGTGTGATTGCGCGCGCGATCAACGACCGACAGCAGCTCCCGCAACACATTAACGCGCCATTTAGATTGCGAAATCTCACTTTTGTTGCCTGCTGTTTATACGCTAAAAATATCAATTCCCATGACATGTTTTCACGCACCGCATATATATTGTACGCTATCACTTGGTTGGCAACGCCAATGGCGACAGCAGCCGTCGGCAAATGTACAGGCCCCCAGCTTCCCAAACAGCTAGCGCTTGCAATACATATTAACATGTTCGACGATCTTTTGCTGTCAAGATAATCCCTATAATTAAAGACTTGAACGCTTTAAGCTGCAGCTTGCTAACTTACAAGTGTAATTGTGTCGATCAGTGTGTCTCGATCATAGCGCCTATGTTATCGCTTGCACATATACATATTTCTTTTATCGCCATGAGAATGAGCACAATTCGCAGCTGGTCACTTGTACTGCTCATTCACCTCTCCCACACACATGATCGCTACTTATTCTTCGTTGATTCCACACATTATGTGTTGTGATAAAAACTCGCAAGCATTTTTCACAAGTAGGCGACATGATTTTCATTTTCATGCTATTTGATAAATGTAGACTGATTTCTTATAATTCACAGCGTTCGTTCCTTGTAAAAATCTTTGTTGTCATATATGTCTTATTTTAATGAATGCAATAAATATTTTATTATTTATTCATATAGCTCTCGTCGTACGTCAACCACCAATGATGATGAACGCGAGTATCATAGCGAACACGAGACCAGCTGGGATGAGTTCGATGACCGTTATGATAATTTTACCGCCGGCCGTGAACGTTTGCAGGAATTTAATGGACGAATACCGCCACGAAAGAAGAAAAAGGATGTGCCAAAATCAAAGTACGAGAAGAAGGTGAGAGAAAGAGTAAGTCACAAACTGAATTTTATAATTAAAACTGACAAACTATGAGTAATATAGAAAATAATTAGTTTGCCCCTTAAACTGATACCTAAAAACACAAGTTGACCTTAGCCAATATAATATGGCTCTCATCATCAATCAATACTCATAAATATTGTATATTTTAATCATAAAAAAAATATTTAAATAAAGAATCGGCAAATATTTTTTTTTTTTTTTAATATAACGATCGATTTATCCAAAGTTTTTAAGTTATAGCGAAGGTTTTCATTGTTATATAAACGTCTATTGAAGCTTTCCAAATGTTATTGAAGTTTAACAAAAAGTTTGAAAATTTGACGAAGTTTTTTTTTTTTTTTTTTTAATATGAATGAACGATTTCATAACATGAAGCATGTACAATAAACTTATCGAAGGGTCTTGAGGTTACACAAAAGTATTTGAAACTTGACGAAAGCTTCTGAATGTTTACAAAGATTATAAGAGTTCAAAACTATTATAAATTTAAGCTTACCAAAAGGTTTTGAAGTTAAAAAGTGTTGAAAACTATGTATTACGAAATTTTTTAGAACTTATCGACGAATTTGAAAACTTAACGAATCTTTTTATTTTGCAACATAACGAATATTTTCAGAATCTTTTGATAGCTAACTAAGAGAAAATGAGGTTTTTGAATACTTGGCGATAGTTGCAATAATATCTAGAAACTTTTCGAAATTTAAAAAGAATCCTAATTTTATGATCTCTCATATAACTGAACATATTTGATTTTAGGTATGCATATTTTCGATGAATGTCTTATTATTCTCACACAAAATAAATAGCAATAAAAATCTATTACTGATTATTTATCTCATTTTCTCGTCCTTAAACATAGAGGAAATGAGGAAACGCAGAGAAAAGTAATTGTCGAGTAACCATTTAATAAGATAAAATAAGTATAAAATCTAGTGTCTCCAACAGAAACACTATCCTGGTTTCTATATTCTTATTAAAGAAGAGCAATTCAACCCTAAATAATGCCTGCAAACTTGAATTTTGTGCGGTTGAAGGTCAAAAATATTTAAATTTCAGAAACGTATGTCCTTACAAAAATAAGAATATTTTAATAATATCCAAATGAATATGTTTTCTCAATATATTGGCGCTACTTTGAAATCGTTTTAACTTATATTTCGGATTATTTTCGAAGTGGTTATTTCTTTATAGTTCATAACTGATATTACTGCAAACCCGATCCTCAATTTTTGTTCAATACCGGTCCGAGTCTAATAGAGTCCAAATATTATATGATACATCCTATGTGTTATTTCTGCACATGTTTGTGAGTAATCTATGGTATCTACGGTATACTGGTGACCTATATTGTATACTCTTATTATTAATAATGTAAAAACAATGTATTTTCAAAAAAGTAATGTTTACTATATAACTTATACCAACTAGCTTGTAATATTCTTAAAATAACCCACTAAGTGCAACATTAATCATCTTCAGCACAGAACATTCCTTGACAGCGTGGGCAAATTTTCTCTTTACCCTACAACCAAATTGTGTCTGAATGAGTGAATAATTAACAAGGAATGTCTTCTTCAGAAAAATAATTTTATTTAAGAAAACCTTTTTCAAAAAATACCTTCCCATCACTTTGTAAACACAAATGTGCCGCCTATAAACACAGGTGTTCTTCACAGTTTAAGACGTAAATTGCGCCATACTGCAGAGCGTGCAAAAAAGCAAAAACATAAAATCGTAGAATACTGTAGAATAAAAACTGCAATATGACACAGTTCATTCATTTATAGACGCACATAAAGGAAGCTTTCGAAACTCTTTGTTTTCGAAACACTTGTGGGGCCACATGCGAAAGCCAAACGTACGTTGGACGACAAATTAAAAAACTACCGCAAATAAGTATGTATGTATGTGTATGTGCATATAGTTATAAATTTTTTATATATGGAAAGCGTAACAATTTTATTACGCTGCAGTACAATAAATGCAAAATGCAATCTAAGTCGCTGGCGAGCCAATGATAGGCATGCGGGCCAATGGACACCAGCGCAGTGCAGTAGTGCCATCAAGCACACGTACGCCGAACACGCGCTGACTGCCTGTCGATAAATGGACAGAGGGTGAGGAGCGTAGCTGCAGTGTGTTGTCACTAAAAACTAGCAGGTTTCTAGGCGCTTGCCGTCAGTAGCGGCAAAACCTTTTGCTACAACTTATTTTTGTTGTAATTTATATATTTTTTCTTGTAACTTTTTGTGTATTTTTTTGCTGTTGGTACAGTTTGTTGATTTTATTGACGTCGCAAAGCTGCGCAATTAAATTTTATCGCGAAAAATACGAATTTTATTGTCACTTGAACCGCCACACCGACTGCCCAGCTGAGTGCGCCTGCCCGTTGTGCCTTTGCCGCCGCGTTGGCTGCTGGCTAAAGTTTCGTGGACTTTTTTTTTTTTTTAACTTTTTTATGCGGATTTCTAAGCAACAGCAAAACGGAAAATGCAAATCCAGGCGGTTTTTACGAGCACTTTGTTCTAAGTATTTTTTTTTTTTTTTTTTTTGATTTTTTTTTTTTGTGCTTCAATTTAATGCACTTTAATTTAATAATTTTTGCCAGTTTACCGTAATTTATTTGTTGCTTTGTGTGACACATTTTAATTGTGATAACAAATTTTTTGATTTTCGCCAATTTTTTTCTGCTGTCAGCAACTTTTGTGTGACTGACGCATGCTGCCGCTAGGCGCACAGCTGTAAGTATTTTTATTGCTTCCTAAGTATTTTTGTAGGTGCAGGCATTGTTGCTTGTTCGAGTAAAATATCCATGCATTCATATATATGTACACACATACATACTTTTATTGCACTTTTTCCCCAACGCTTGCGTTGAAATGTAATTTTCTGCCTTGCTTTTGTATGTTAATGACCTTTTCTAGTTGTTTACTGAAGCGCGTAATTACAGTTTCAAATTTCAGTTGCATTTATCATGGTGAGATGTTTTTTTCTTGTATTTTTTTAGCCAGCTGTTTTAAAGCTGTGTGCTAGGTTCTGTTTAAGAAGCAAAACATCAGGCTGCATTTAGTTCGTGTGTTGTTTAAAAACTACAGAAAAATGCAATTTAAATGAAACTGAATTATAACAGCATTTAAAAATGATACGATAACTGAAGATAGACTTTTTTTTAGAATTATTTTAAGAAGAAGTACGGAAAACGATTAAAATAGATGAAGCCGATTTTTGTTTGATTTTCTTCAGAGTTTTAATTGACCTTTTTAGGAAGTTAGCGCAGTTAAAAACCTTGAAGGAACTAACACACCTTTGATATTTTATTCTTGAAGTAAAGAAATTTTAATCGAGTTTTTCGCTTTCTAACATGTATTTATAAATGGTTTTAATATTGGCATATTGATGAAGACATATATTTTTCTTAATTTTCTTCAGATTTTTAATATATTATTCTTTAAGTAGTTAGCCAAGTCAAGAACCCTGAGACATTTTTTTTATAGTTTATTCCGGAAGTAAAAAAAAAAGTAATCGAATTTTTTCAATCATTTTAGGAATATTTTTAATATTGCCGTTTAGATACAAAATGGAGCTTCTACTACCGGAAAAAAGTAAAACACGGCATCTTTGCCTACATAAGACTTGCTACTAAAATATGTATATTTTTGATTTTACAGATATTTGAACCAAATGGCGGGCTCACAAAGAAAATATAAATTATTTACCGAAGAAGTTAGCAGAAAAAGATCATAAAAAATAACAAAGAATATAAAATATATATAAAAATAATACATTCGAGTAGCATTCTCACCCACTCTGAAAATTAGTTTTACAAATTGGGAATAAATAATTAAGCTCACTCATGTATTTGTGGAAGCTTGATTTATAAAAAGTCTAAAGATTGCTTACTTGAATAAATCCGAAGAAATTTAAAATTGTATTGAAAACTATTTTCCAATGCGATTTTATAACCTTTTTTGGCAGAAAAGCCTTCAAAACTTTTATATGAAGTGAGGGGAATAAATACCAAATTAATCAACTTTATGCGCCTCAAAATATGCAACACAATTGATATCTACTCAAGAAAGAAAAGTGAGATATCTAAGTGGAATTCTCGCAAAAATTACTCACGTTAGGCTGAAAATTTAAAACATTTTACATACTTATAAAAGAATAAAATAATCCACTAAAAAGCTTTATAGCCTAATTATGTATTATAAGGAAGGATAATACAGAATTACGCAATAAACAATTGAACTTTTTTTTTCTTCATTTTACGATTTTTTTTTTTTTTTCAATTAGTAATTTTTCTAACATCATTTTCAGATTCTATTGTTCTAATTTTTCACTCGACGTTCTCTTTTTCATCAACAGTTTTGCCACCAAATATTCGCACGACTTCTGTCGAAAAAAAAAAGAAATTGAGACAAATGTTCGAAATGCCTTTCTTTTTCCAAACAATTAAACGGTGAATAATGCCAAAAATTATGAAAATTTATGACTAAAAAGATGACACACTTCATTTGCATATATGCAAGTAAAACCTAAACCACCCTTACCCACCTCAAATCTAAGGAAATACAAAACAAGTGCCCAATCAAGCGAAAAAGTAATCAAATAATAAATCCATATTTCTGCTTCTGAAAAAAATAGCAAACTAACTAACCCCAATTGTTATGAAACATTCTTTTATTTACTTATGCACCACAGAGACCCTACTGATATACATACAAACTCGTATGCATATTTTCATTCAAGTGCCTGTCCACAAAATATTTATATGACCACTAGTGGACTGGCAGTGGCATTGATAGAAATTTTCGGCACATTTTTATTGTAATTATAAGCGCATTTGTTACATTTATCAAATGCCAGTGGTGCGGACATAAAAATTATTTATTGATGACCACATAAGTACATATACATTAGTATGTAAGTACAACATGCATACTTAAGTGCTGCCTTAATGTTGAAGTGCACGTGTAAATTGGTCTTTGGGGAGGATTTTATGCGCCGCCGATGAGTATCGCTGGCAGTTTGACCCGAAACAAAATAGAGGCTAGATGAACAGACACACACTTGTATAAATATACACAAATGTACACACATATATGAAAATGTGCAAATATAGAGCATTTAAGCAGCCAGGAACACTACCAGGTGTTCCGAGTTCGCATGCGGGGGCTGTTATTGAAATAATCCATATTTATGTTAGTCAGTTTATTCAGCGGCAAAGTGTTACAATAATGCATTTAATAGCCTATTATGTGCTATTGAGATTAGAACTTTGCTACATTTTTTTGATTTACTTGCACTAGTGAATAAATGAGTAGTGTTGTTTTAATGCCAAAAGTTTTCGGACTTCATTATAATACACATAGGGAGTTATTCAATGACGTTATGGATAGCAGAAAAATCCACTTGACTATGAAAATCACTTTTGTCTCTTTATTAATTATATGTTAGATATGTTTTTGCTTTAATACCACACATTACTCGGATAAAAGCACCGCCAATGCGCAATTAAGAATATTTACTATTAAAAATTTACTCCATCTTGCTTTTTCAACTATTTGCCGTACTTTAAGCCATTAACGAGTGTTATAAACCTTCTAAGCCGCCTCGGAATATCTTTTAAACAATACATTTTCTTTGTAATAGAAATGTTTGTATTCAAAATACTCTCCGAATAACCTGTTGAGTGACAAACAAATAGACATTTCTTCCATATATCATAATTTATCGCGAGAGGTCGCTATTAGCAATTATGGAGTTTGTGTAAAAAGATATGAAAGAATTACTAAGGTAACTTTGATGAGTGCAGCAGAGTATTTGGGGGGTGAAATATAAAAAAATAAATAGTGTTCACACCTGCAAATGCATCACTCACTTTTTTGAGGTTTAACTCAATCAGAAGATTCTTTAAAAACACCATAGAAACCACTTGCGAACGTGTAAGTTTAGATGAGGCTGAGGCTCGTATCTCTTTTCGTAGAAAAAGACTGTATCACAGAATTTTTCCAACATACATAGATAAGCTTTCCTAATTTATATAACATATAACTTTCAAAAACACATTATCTCAGATCGCAGTGAGTTATCTTTCTTCAAGTCCAGATTATCATAATTATGGGTATGTTAGGATTAAGGATGAAAAAATTTACACCAACAAGTACCTATCTTTATTTATGGGATTATTTCTGTCAGATATGTTGTAGAGATTATGTTATCTATATACTTTACTTTCTAGAACATATGAAATTCAAACCATATATTTATTATTATGTTCTCTCTTCTTCTCTTTGCAGCCATTCAAGGGTTTTATCTGGCCCACTGTCGTCACAGTCATCGTTGTTGCAATCGGTTGTGGCTTCCTTGTTACGCGATGAGTGCAACAAAAGTGAAGTTCCAGCGGCAATAGCCTCAGCAATACTTACAATTTAAAAAGCAAGCAGCAGTGAAGCAATGCAGAAAAAAAGCATAATTATTTACACTTAAAGAAAAAATACAAAAAAATAATAAATTTTGAGAAAAACTTTAAAAACAAAGCACAAATGAAAAGTGTTAAAGTGTGCGGAAAGCAGAATGCTTTTGCCGTTTTCATAGCAATAAAGGAGTACGAGAGAGAAATATATAAAGGTGAAGAAATTTTCGCCAGAAATGTGGAACGTGAAACTGTTTAAAGAAGCGCAAGTCGCGCGTGGAACGAAGCGAAGTTACGCCGGCCAGTTTTAAAACGACTCCTTGAGGAGTGGCTTGAGAGAGAAATCTTTTCGAGAGTGAAATTTCTAGAATTTGCGAATCGACTAGCGAAAAAGCGCATCAAACCGCTACAATTAGAGTGAAAGAGAAAGAGGTGAAAGAAGGAAAGATATGGCGTCAAAGAAAGAGAGAGAGAGAGAGATATATAAGCGAGCAAAGCGCACAGTGTGCGACAACGAAACCGAATTTTTAATCAACGAAGCTTTTCTTACACACCACAAACTCCAAACGAAATCAAAGTCGAAAACGACGTAATTAAAGCGAACAACTAATATTTTTTTACACCAGCAAAGCATATTTTTGTACAATGTACTCATTTATAGTGGATATACATATGTACGCAGACGAGTATTTGACTAACAAATCTCTGCCGTATTTGGACGTGGAAATTTCGCATCTAGTATACTTGATATGAATTTGAACTGCCGTTAAGTGTAAGCCACTTTGTGCTTAAACAAAATATTTTTCTAACGAAAATTTTGTACGTTTTTTATTCTAAATGTGTAACAGATAAGACTGTTCGATATTGAAAGGCAGCATTTGTACAAAACACAATTTAAAAATAAAGAAACTAAGACAACAAGGCAACATTTTTATAAAAAATTATATTCAATAACTAAATATATTCTACAATTTTGATAAAAAATCAGACTAACAGTAAATTAATTAAAAAAAAGAACTCAATGCTAAACTTTTGTTTCATACTAACAACTGAAAAATGGCTAATTTGGCGTACGGAACACAGTTTTTTCCATACAGATGCGCATATTTTTGATAAAGAATTTTAAGGACTTTTACAAAATTACAAAATATCTTTTTTATATAAAAACAAACTGAAGAAAAACAGCAAATTACAAAACAATAAACTAATATTGAAATAAAAATTCGGGTTTCCGAAAGCGTACAAGTTTTTTCGAAACAAGAACTTTGGCGCAATATTTTTGATAAATTTTATAAATATTTTTGTAACCGCATATAAATATGTATGTAGGTATGAGAGTAACTGAAATACCAACAATTTTTGCTAAGAGGTTTACAAATCAAAAAA